AAAGCTTAAGAAAAAGCTTGCGAAGGTTCTTAAGACAAACACTAAGAAGTTCATAAGAATGTTCTTAAATGCAGTTCTCAGAAAAAGCTTAAGATCTCAAATATTCTCTAAAGATAATCTGAATTATTTTTTATTAAGAAAATCTTCATTGTTTTTTTAATGTAGGCTACGTTGCATTTAACCACGTACCATAAACGATGCGAGATACATTCTGAATTTGTATTAACTGTTATTTCCCTTATCAGGTTAATCTGCTCAGAGGAGCAAACTGGAGGAAAAACATCAAACCAAGCGTTTAAGAATTTCAGCAAACAAGAATTGATGGAGGAAGAAACAGCCAACAGGAACAAATCCTCCTTGGAAAGTATGTTATTGTGGGGTGACGGATGAGAATGAGGAGCAGCAGAGGCAGCGTCTGTGATAAATTTAGATGCTTAACTTGTCAACGTACAGCCTGAGACAGTGTGAGTCTGTTATAAGGTTAAGGAAGCATTTAAGAACATAATATCTTCAACAATGCCACATGTTCTTAGAATAACTCTTCAGAAAATAGTTAAGGAGAAAATAAGAGAATTCTTAAGATGTTATTTGAAGAAAAACAATTTCTTATAACTGTTTTCTTAAGAATGAAGTTAAGTAAAAACACACATTTAAGAAGATTTTCTTTAAGACACTTTCGTGAATCCGGCCCCTGAACCCAATGCAAAAAATGGTACCTTGTCAAGTAAAACTATCAATATAGTAAAAATCCAATATTTCTCCTGTTGAGATTGTTGTAAGCTTAAGTTAAGATTTTTTTACTTACTTAGACATTGTTTACTTGTTTACACTGTAAAACATGAGAAGTCTGCTCAACTTAAAATGATACAGTAACTGATTACATGGCTTTTCTTGAGTTGACTCAACTTGAAGACACCAGTTCACACAACTCAAACTTCTTAGTTGAGTCAAAAACTCTCCCAGCTACTGTTTCTAGGTCTGCATCTCAGTCAGATAAACAAACTGAATTTCCATTTTTTACTCTCCACTAGCTGGCGCTCCTTCTATCATACAGTCCCATCTGGCATTTTTCCCTCTTGGGCCTCTGGATATGGACAGCTATGTCATTGCTGGGATTCAAACTCACAACCTCCTGATGTTGGGATGAATTATTAGACAGTTGCACCTCATAAGACGACGCCATGCTTTAAAGTTAAAACAACTAAAATTTTCTCCAGTGTATTAAATATTAGTAGACACACAATCTGAATTACTTCATGTGTTCCTGAGTGGTGCAGTGGACTAAGCCGTCACCCTAACAGGAGGTTGTGAGTTTGAGCCCCAGCGACGCCGCAGCCATCCATAAGTGTTCACCCAAGAGGAAAAATGTCCAGCAGGATTGTGTGATGTAGAGTCCTGGCTGATGGGGAAGTTCAGTATAAAAACATGTTCATTATATTTTCCTCACTGAGACACAGAACTAAAAAATTAAGAGAACTTTTGACTCAACTAAGAAGTTTGAGTTGTGTGAACTCTGGTGTCCTCAAGTTGAGTCGACTCAAGAAAAGCCATGAAATTAGTTACTATATCATTCTGAGTTGAGCTGATCTCTCATTTTTAACAGTGTAGGTAATTTAAGTAAAATTGTCTCACTATACTATGCTTGTTGTAAGAAATGTGCGTGAAACCAGCTAAATTATCTGCCAGTACAGTGAGACTATTTTGCTTAATAAAATTACCAAAAACAAGTAAAACATTTCTGGAAATAAGTTAGATAATCTTATAATAAGTGCACAACCATCTCAAAACGGGACATACACCAATCAGGCATAACATTATGACCACCTCCTTGTTTCTACGCTCATTGTCCATTTTATCAGCTCCACTTACTATATAGGTGCACTTTGTAGTTCTACAGTTACAGACTGTAGTCCATCTGTTTCTCTGATACTTTGTTAGCCTCCTTTTACCCTGTTCTTCAGTGGTCAGGACCCCCATGGACCCTCACAGAGCAGGTACTATTTGGGTGGTGGATCATTCTCAGCACGGCAGTAACACTGACGTGGTGGTGGTGTGTTAGTGTGTGTTGCGCTGGTCTGAGTGGATCAGACACAGCAGTGCTGCTGGAGTTTTTAAACACTAGGTCCACTCACTGTCCGCTCTATTAGACACTCCTACCTTGTCAGTCCACCTTGTAGATGTAAAGTCAGAGACAATAGCTCATCTGCTGCTGCACAGTTTGTGTCGGTCATCCTCTAGTCCTTCATCAGTGGTCACAGGACGCTGTTGGCTGGATATCTTTGGTTGGTGGACTATTCTCAGTCCAGCAGTGACACTGAGGTGTTTAAAAACTCCAGCAGCACTGCTGTGTCTGATCCGCAGTTTATTAGGTATATCGACTAGATTTAAGATCATTTCACTTGACAAGATACCATTTTTTGCAGTGCACTGAATGTGAACCCGTCCCGAGGCCGACACATATTCGTAAAATCGTGTCTGACCCCGACAGGACCCGACTGCTCATTCGGACAAATTTTTCAATCTTTGTTTTGCAATAAAAAGGTGAAATGGGCTCCACACTGCTGCACCAACTTCATCAGATCTGAAGGCAATAATGAGAAGAAGCATATTCGGACCTGCCGCTTTCTACTGATAAGATCTCTAATGGACACCCAGAGTCTGAACCTGGAACCCTTCAGCTCCACCATATTCAGGCACCTGTTGTAGAGCTCTACATCCTCTTGCATCACACACCAGGTTCCTGGAAGGCTCTGTGTAGTGTGTGGAAGGCAAAGGCCCTGCAGTGTCATGGATAATTTAAATACAGGCCTACAAGATCAGCACTCCCCTCTCAGATATTAACATATTAATACCGCAGCACGTCCAACTCAACTAGGCATCTATCTCACGCTGTGTCCTCCACCGAGAAACCATCAGACTTGCCCTATCCTGCCGCTTCCCGAGCTGGGAGCTAAACTAGCTCTGTTAGATCACCCTGGAGCTCACAAAGCCTCATAATGTAAATAATTCAACAGGAAAGCCTCAGAACTGAGCGCACCGTTAGCAGCAAGACAGCAGCGCAGGCCTGCGGCGTGGAACACCGGAGCCCACCGGCCAGCCCTAGCTTTTCCAAGGAAGCTGACAAGTACGTTGACTGCAAGGGAGTAACCTAAGGGTGGGGGATAAGGGGCTGCATCCTCTCCAGTATGGAAAAGAAACAATATAAATAATGAAAGAAATCAGAAAACACATTCTTTACAGGTCTTACGCAAACGACACAAGCTCTAACAGCTACAGTAACACCTTTAAGGCCTTTACAGACTGAGCATGATTAATCTGCCAGACATCAAATTTAATCAAAAAACACTTTTTTTAGGGCAAAAATGCAACATTATTTATGTTGTGGTCTACGGTTGGTGTTTTGCATGTTAGTCAAATGGCTTTTTCCTGTCAAAGCAGGTGGTTCTTTGCCATACTGAGCGACGAAACCTCCAGTTTGTGTAATATTTACTCTGTGAATCTCTATATGCATTCAAACCAAAGTTTGTTTTAGCCTAAAGCTTAAAATATACTTTAGCCCAACACAAACGTATCGCAAATTAACTGTGAACCCACATAAAACGACTGAAATGTTGATTCGCCTAAAACTTGCTAAGAAAAACCAAAGCTGAATGCCACTGGCTTGAAAATGCTGCCATGAAACTGCTGGCGTGAAACTGTGGCTCTGCAGACAGATATTATTGGAACTGAGCGACGAAACCCTCCAGACGTCAGATTTGTGAAGCTACATGAACACTAGCAGAGTGTTTCTTACTCTATATGATCTTATTCTGCTTCTATGAGTGTCTTAACAGAGCTCTGATATCAAAATAGTCCTCGGTGTATGAGGTCAGATGAGGTCGGATAGCAGAATTGGTATCACAGGAGAAAAATCAGTGCATTTTCATGAGCTTTAGTCTTTCACAGCACAGCCGAACCTACAGAGATACAGGTGACACAGAAAGGACTTCTAATCCCAGAACTCTAAAACACAGGAGAACGGGGTTTAATCCACCGCTCAGGCAGGTAATCAAACACTGCTATAATATACTGCTAAGACCACTAACGTGGCAGCAAGCAAGTTCACTAGTTGATCGTGTTCCAAGCTGCATGCAAAATCACTCATAAAGGTTCAGCTCCTGAATGAGGTCTCAGTTTTTTCTTTTCGAAAACACAATTTGCACTGCAAAAATCATATCTTAGGACAAATGATCTTAAATCTAGTCTAAATCTCATACTTCATACATGGTTGTACAAATATTATAAGCTTATCTTACTTATTTCTGTGTTTTCTTTACTTGTTTAAAGTAATTTTATTGAGTAAGAATGTCACTATATTGGCAGATAATTCTGCTTTTTTCATGCACATTTCTTAAACTAAGCAAAATTTTCTGCCAATTTTCTGCCAAATTTTACTTAATAAAAATACCTAAAACAAGTGAAAATGGCTATAAATATGTATATATCAACTAGATTTAAGATAATTTCACTTGCCAAGATACCATTTTTTTGCACGGGAAGGATTTCGTTTTGCACTTGAAGACATTCTGTCCGTTTTTCAAAACTGTACATCTGAATATTTTGCATTTTAGTGCCATTTATTTGGATCTTGTTTGGTGTGTCACAGCCTTTAAAGCGACTGCACCAAGTAAAGTTTGTTTATTTGAGCTCTAGCTGTTTATTGGCTGATACCAATACCTAATATCTAATATACTTTTCTTTAAAAGTATATTAGCTCTCTTATCTTTGGTCACACTTGCAGAACCAACGTTACTCAAACATCCTCAGCATAATCTGGCTAATACTTAAAATCAAATCACCAGGCACTAGAAAATGACCATCACATCCAGTAGAATGTATAGTGTAGTGGTATGATCATCTGTCAGTTGCTGTATTTATCACTTTCTAAAGAGTTTACCAAGCTAACGATAGCCATCTGGGTAGACAATGCTAGCAGTTTTAGCTTATTTAGCTTGGCTTACCTTGCAGCCCTCACAGGCACTGACACCATAGTGGTACCCCGAGGACTTGTCCTGGCACACGAAGCAGGGCTTGTAGACACGGGGAGGGGGCAGGGGTGAGGGCGGGCTGGGGACCAGCTCCTCTGAACTGCTGCTCTGCGTCTCGATGGCTGCGGGGGCATAAGAACGACAAGACAGAGATTACAAAGGAGAAAGAAAAGATGCCCAGAACCACTGTGCAAATCAGTGAGATGAAAATCTGTTACAATTACAGAAACACTGAGTCTTGCAGAGACTTGAGTAAGTCAGGACAGATGAAAAACCCAAGCATGACAGAGACGACACAACACTGAAGGAGGATGGAAAGAACTATACAGTATAATATCACAATATTTCAGGTTTAAAAACAGTATTAATACACAGAGGCCTAAGTATCAATACTTAAATATTTATTATATTAACTATATTTAGATAACCAAATGCATTTCTGTCTTAATCTAAAGCTTCTGATTTCCTATCGGTGAGACCGAGACCAAGGCTTCTGTCAGTGGAGCTATAGTTGGGAAGGATAGAGAATAGATAGATAGCATAGATAATAAGGCACATAACCAATACTGGAAACTAAAGTTTGACACCTTTGATATGTTGTTTTGAGAATCACCCTATAAATATCTAAACTAAAGCGATCTATGGTTGGTTATTTTGCATATTAGTCAAATAGCTCCTTCCTGTCAAAGGTGGTTCTTCGCCACACTGACCGACGAAACCCTCCAGAAGTGTGACTTGCAAGGCTACCTGAACACTAATCAGAGCCTTACTTACTCTGTATGATGTTATTCTGCTACTATGATTGTTTTAATGGAGCACTGGTGTTCGATCCTATTGACTGATACCCCGAATTGATATGAGGAGAAAAAGTCAGACTAAAGCATCCTTTAATGCTGGGTTGACGAATTAGAGACTCGTGGGTAAAAGATAACAAGGTTAACACCAGACCAGGTCAGCAACCAGATTAACAAAACACAATACATAGGCGGAGATGATAACGGAGTCAGATAAACAAGCGAGGGTGGTAACCAAAACGCAAACACACGGGTAGACAAAAGGACAAATCCAAGAATCAACAATAAGAAGACAAAGCAAGGCCACAAACCGGACAGCTATTAAACAAAGAGCGGCTCAGTATGCACTGACAGGTCAGGGGCGCTGCTTCTCAAAGACCCAGTGCACACAGGCTTAAATACAAGGCAACACAGGTGATGGTGATCAATATTCAGGCGGCTGAGATCTGCTGGTTGGATTTTGATTGGTTGATGGAGTCATGTGACAAACTAAGGGATTCTGGGAAGTGGAGTTCAAATGAGAACCGGGAAGCGTGACACATCTTCACAAGATGTAGATATACATGAAGATATAATATACATCTGACACAGAAGAGCCTTCCAGTCCCCGAGACTGTTAAAGCACAAGAGAATGGGATTCGATCCACCTCAGGAAATGGTAGAAACCTGAAACATCGCTTTAATGTACGAATAAGAGACAAAAAGGTGTAAATGAGAAGAAGAATGTATAACATTCAGTAGATAAAACGTTTTCTTTTGCAGTCAAAACTAATGAACTGCAATATACTGCAATATGTCATATCACTGTACTTTGCACATCACAAACTGCAATAGCATATAAAAATCTGCAGCAGAATTGGGGTTTAGGTATCGTGATAATATTGTATGATAAGGTCCTGTAGTGATTCTCACCCACACACCACTTTCTCTTGTCCAGTTAGAATCCCAAGACCAATTCTGATCAATTTTTTATTAAAAAAAATGCTTGGCTTTACTTATGGCCTCTAAAAGTGGAGCTCAAACAGCCAATTTAGGGTAAAAAAAAAGAAATAAATAAGTATAATGCACAGCTGGGCTATATTAAGATTAAGTGACCCTTATTACTCCCACAACGGGGATATTTCACCTCCGCATTTAACCCATCCATGCAGTGAAACACCACATACACACCAGTGAAAGCACACACTAGGGGGCAGTGAGCACACTCGCCCGGAGCGGTGGGCAGACCTATCCACAGTGCCCAGGGAGCAGTTGGGGGTTAGGTGCCTTGCTCAAGGGCACTTCAGCCACGTACTGTCGGCTCAGGGGATCAAACCGGCGACCTTCTGGTCACAGGGCTGGTTCCCTAACCTCCAGCCCACAACTGCCCCAAAATATGTGGAGAGTGTTATTATCACGTGACCTGCTTTACTACAATTTACATTTTGTTGTGCTACTGTCCTGCTATCTGTCCTGCATACTAATACTGGATATAAAATCATTTTATCTCTGAGATATTAATCATTTTATGCATTTTTAGAATTATTTTACACAACAGAGCTACAAATCACACTGATCATACAAAGGATCACAGAAATACTGAACATATTCACTCGCCTGCCAAACTGAGATCCTTAATTACCCCAAATTTAATTTGCGAACTTGCAACGATCACTACAGACCGTAAAATCACCCCAAAAAACGAAGCAACAACGATCTCGGGGGAAATGAACGCTGAAGAGGTATAAATGATCTCACAGCTCAGACTGCATCAGAGGACAAGGAGGCAACACGAGCGCGCTCCAAACTCCAGGCCAATCAGCCGATCAAATTACGCCACCACACACAGATCTCCAGAGGAGCAAACTCACTTAGCCATGTCATTCAGCCGCTCGGCTGCATCCGAAACGATTCTGCACTGCCAGATCACTCCATCCATCTCTGCAGGAGCTGCTCACAGCGCTACCTTTAAAATCCCAGCTGAGTTTCCTCACGATGGTGCTGTCAAGGAATGAATTCCTGTTTTCTGAGAGTCTTTCAATTACAGAGCTGCATTCTTCATGAACGTGTGGGTGTACAGAATCTGCTGAAATCCAATCTAACCGAGCTTTGTGAGACACATCTATGGTTAGACCTTCATTTATGTAATTTCCAGTCAAAACAGCCATTAAGTACAAGTTATTCATCTTTTAAGAGAGATTTCAGAGGAAATGAGATATAAGGTCATCCACTTGCATTAGAAAAGTGAAAAAACAGAAGTTTATAAAACTGGAGTTCAAAAACGATTAAAAGCTACAGAGAAAATGGGGCTCCTAACAACCACCTGGAAGAGCTGGTCGACCCCAAAACTGCCCCCATCAGATAAACAGCGCTTAAAGCTTTCATCTCTGAGAGAGAGGAGAAAATCAAGCTGCTTCAGATCTGAAAACATCCACAGGTGTTTCTGTCCATCCTTCCACTGTGAGAAGACGACTCAGCGCTGTGGGTCTGAAAGGATGTGTAGCTGTCAAGAAGAACCTCACTGAGAAAAGGAGACGGACACATCAAACAAAGAAGCTGGACGATGGACTGACCACCCCAGAGTCCGGACCTCAACACCACTGAATGGGTTTGATTACTTCAGAAAATGATCAACCAGCTTCTAAGACTGAACTTTGGAGGTGTGGAAAAATAACACTGCAGTTTTTTTTTACACTTTAAATACACTTTAAATAAATGAAGGTCTCTAATGTCGAGCATCTCTTTTAGTCTGAATTCTAATGTAATTTAGATATAATTCTCATCTATAGATATGATATAGACGTTTATGAATCTCTAGATCTATAGAGATTTCATAAATAAGTAAAACAAACAACTGGTTTCACACCATCAAACCATTATTAATGTAAGGCATGTGGGTCGTTCTCCATTTGAGTTAATTTTATAGAACCGTTGTCTTTATTAAAGACCCTTGAAGAACCACCTTTTTAAGAGTGTAGAAGTTAATCTGTGAAAATAAAGTCTATCTTCACTCTACAAATCACCTCACATAAAAAAATCCAAGTGTGTCTGATGAGCAAGTTCATGCTTTGATTCGTTCTCCTCCATTTGCCCTTTTTATTTCAGCTTATTTTAGGTGTCGCTTGAAAACTTCCCTGCATCTCGTGGTCTATTTTGCCTTGAGGGAACTCTGAATGTAGACGCAGAGAGGTCACCTGCCAAATGCCATGACCTCTCAGTGAACCTCTCACCAGGCGCCACGATATCTGGGCCAGCGCGGAGCATCTTCGCCTGATTAGGTTAAAATTAGAAATCTGGAAAGTGAAAAAAAGAAATCGCATCTACAATTACACTCAAACATAAATGTGGCATGGATGGTTCTTTGGATTGGTGCTACAGAGGAACCACTTTTGGGTGCTGAAAGAACTTTCAATGGTTCTCTGATGTTCTGTGAAGAAGCTTTGTAAAAATGAAAGCCGTTAACATCTTAACATAAGACTTATTATATTTTTAAGGCTATTCATTAAGTACATTGACTCCAATGTAAACTGGCTTTGTTCTAATATGTTATAGAAGCGCAGCTGCTGGATATTTAAAAGAAAATCTGCCGATTTAAAAAAAATCTGCATAATTCAGTGTTTGAGATGTAAACAAAGTCATTCAGAGTGGTTTGGTGTGAAATGGTTCAGATGTCTTTACAGTGGTGGTGATAGGAACCAGGGGTCACCATGACTACAACACAAATATAGACATTTTATTTACTATCCAAAACCACCAGTGAACCTACACAAGTCTTCTGAGTTTATATATGTAATGGTAAAATAATGAAAAAATATGTTTTCTAAGGGACTTCTGACACCCTACACGTACATTTTAGGCTAAAACCATCTCAGAACTATCATATAACAATGTTTTAGGCATCAGGCAGTGTATTCATAACCGTTTCATGTTTGTATGAGGAGCTTTTAGAGGCATTAAGCTCTTCAGACATCTGGTTCCTATCACCACCACTGTGAACAATTTTTTGCAACTACTTTGAATGACTATTTACATTTCAAGCATTTAATTATATAGAAATACTAAAGAAAACCCCTTTTTAAGAGTTAATAAACTTTCTCACTATATAGTGATTAAAGGTAGTTCTCAAAACTGTATGTTTAAGCCAAAAGTAACTGGGGAACCTTTGTTTTCAAGAGTAGATGAATATGAAAAGCAGAGTTTGCTGGAAGGGAAGTCGAGTGCAGGTAAGGGACTGCTGCTTCACTCTGGATCTGAGGCCAGATTAACAGAGTAGATAAATACGCCTCGAGTCTTCTAACTAAGTACGCATTGATTGCAGGAGTCTCTCTCTCTCTCTCTCTCTCTCTCTC